AAGTTGATATTTTCTCCCTAGGGGCAGCTATCTTCGAGCTTGTCAGAGGGGTGCCCTTGCCTGAATCGGGGCCTCATTTTCTAAATCTTAGAGAAAGAAAACTGCCTCTTCTTCCTGGTCATTCATTGCCATTTCAGAACTTACTCAAGGTAAAATAGCTTCCTTCACAGCATATCCCAACATATCTTGCGATCAGAGGTTTCTGTTATGCCAATCTTTTTTACTGTAGCACTATTGAGTTTGCGTTTCTAACTTTTAAGTTTTAACATTTTAAGCAAAATCATTACCTTTCAATCTTTGGCTAAGGAGCTAAAAATGCATTTTAGTGGCTAAAAAAAATCTTATAAATAAAGAAAACCCAAGATATCAAACAATGTCAGTTAGAAAGTAGTTGGTGAAGGTGATATAGTAATGCCTTGCGAGAGGACACTGATGTTTCTGTTGGTTACTAATCAAATTAGGTCATGATGAACCCTGATCCAACTCGACGACCTTCCGCTAAAGAACTACTCGAGAATCCAATTTTTGGCCGGCCCCAGAGAGCAGCAAAAAGCAAGTAAACTTGTAAGTTTGCTACTGGACGATTTTGACAGAATCTGGAAGCTGCTGTTTCAATAGTATATTTTGGCCGTTGCTGAATTAACAAGGCAAACTACTTGGAATGAAATGTGCAGGGAAGGATTCATAATGGGCGGAATCCATAAGACTTCTCTCCATTTTCTGCACCAGAATTTTGAAATATAGATGGTGCTAATTTTGTATACACAAGAAATGGGGAAGAAAGTACTGTGTAAAGTACTGTAATAATTTTTTGAGTTTTGACAATTGATAAATTCAATCATGGAAGGACCTGAAGTTGGTCATCAATGGTGTTAAACTGGGCCGGATTGTCTATGTGCAGGCTGGCCCATTAAAGACCCGTGCCAGCCCAGCCAACAGGTTTTTGGCTAATGTAATATCTCACGTTAATAAGTTAAGGTTTAGTTTGTCAGTTTATAATAAGGGAACAATCAGTGTTCTAAAATGCGTAATGCGTAGCGAAGCGTCGAGCTCGAGAATCAAGAATCACAAGTTTAGGCGTGTCAATGCGAAGAATAAGCGGCATAATACGTTTCATATTTTTAAGGCATTAAATATATTTTTATATTAAAAAAAAAATTTTTTTTTACCAAAAAAAAAAAAAAATAAATTTTGTTCTAAAATGTGCCGCCTAGGCGTGCCTAGGTGTGCTAATGCGGGCTAATGCGTGCCTAGGCGCGCGAATTTTCGAATAAAAAACGTCAAAAACGCATTTTTC